TCTCTCTTTATCTCTCTCTTGCTCTCTCTCTCTCTCTCTCTCTCTCTCTCTCTCTCTCTCTCTCTCTGAGAAAAGGTCTTGCTATACAATGCAGGTTGGCCTTGGACTAGATTTGTAGCCCAGGCTGGCCTCAACTTCACAGAGACCCTCCTGCCCCAGCCTCCCAAGCCCTGGATTACCAGCGTGCACACCACCATGCTCAGCTGTTGGGGTCCTTTCCCCGGTTCTAGAAAAAAAAAAAAAAAAAAGCAGGGATTCTCTGTCCTCAGCTCTGTCCATGGGCCTCTCCTTGCCTGCCCTCAGGGGTCCACCCTCTTGCCTTTGTCCCAAGGTCATTCCCAGGACCCAGTGGGAATTTGTCCTTTCCCTGGAGCCAGCGCTGTGGCTGGGCAGTGGGAGGAGCGAGTGTGGGCTGGTCTCCACAGTGGGTGACTCCGAGGCTCTGCCCTCTGCTGTCTCAGGGGGAGGACGCCACGCCCCAGGACCTGCCAGGAGCAGAAGAAGAGGAGAAGAAGACGCTGATGATGCAGATGGTGGTGCGGAGCCCCGGGTGGCCCTGGTGGAGCGGGCGGGTCCTGGGTCCACCATGGACACAGCTGGGAAGTGGCTGGAGGCGGGAAGAGGAGGAAGCCCCTCACCCTGGCCTGGGCCTCCCATGCCCAAGGGGCCTGGCCTCCTCTCCTCCACTCACAAATGTGTGAGAATGCCTGTGTCATTGGTTAGAGAGGACACAGCCCCTGGGGTGTGCAGCCTTGTGCAGCTGGGACAAGATGTTTTGTTTTATGTTTTGAGGTTGAGTCTTGCTATATAGTCAGGGCTAGCCCTGAACTGACTATGCAGCCCAGGCTAGCCTCAAACTCGACCTGGTCACTGGGCATGGTGGTGTACACCTATAACCCTACCACTTGGGAGGCTGAGGCAGGAGGATTACTGTGAGTTTGAGACCAGCCTGGGCTACAAAGTGAGCCCAAGGCTAGCCTGAGCTGCATAGTGAGACCCTGTCTCCAAAAAACAAAAAGCCTCAACTTGGTGACCCTCCTGCCTCAGCCTCCTGGGATGGGAGAAGTTACTGTTACTGGCTGGGAACTTGAGACCTGCTAAATGGAGTTTCTTCTCAGATATCTACCAGAATGAGTTGGGTTAACTACTGGATTTTACAGATGCGTGTAGTATTTGACCCTCTGCCCCTTGGCCTTCTCACTGCATCTGACGACCTCTGGGCCCATTCAGTGTTCCCCAGTGCGGGAGGGGAGCATTTTCTCTGAGTCCTGTGGGCCCAGGGCTGCGGCAAGGGTGTGCTGGGCAGCTTTGCCGGATGGGTGCTCACTGCCCCTGTATCCCTGTGCAGAGGCAGATCCAGGAGGAACCGCTGGACTCGCTGTCCACCTCCGTCCGCCAGCAGGCACTGGAGACTCTGGCCCAGCTGAGGTGCCCGCCCCTCCCCGCCTATCTCTGGGGGCTCCCTCCCTGGCCCCTGTGGTGCCCGCACCTCCCGGGTCCTCACCAGCACTGCCTGCCGTCTTCACCGCAGCCACACTAGCCCCGCGCTGGTCGCGCAGGAGCGCGGGCAGCTGGTGAGCGCGTGCGTGCGCAGTGTGTTCTCGCTGCCCTCAGTGCGGGCCATGCAGGAGCAAGATGAAGCTGCGGCCGAAACCATCCAGGTGAGTGCCTGGATACCAAGGCTACCGAGGAAGCCCGTGCCTTGTGGCTCTGTGGCCAGGGAGACCCACCTCAGCGCTCTAGGCCTCAGGGAAGGTGGGCCCCTGCTTGAGGGGCCTGCAGCGCTCTGGGCAGCCCAGAGGGTCAGAGGTGGTGGCTGGCCTGGAGGGCAGGCTGGGAGCTGGACGCTGAAGAAGAGACAAGGAGCAGAGGCAGGGACCTGGGAGAGAGCTCTTCCTGCCTAGGCAGGGGTCTAGAGCAGAGGGTGGCAGTGAAGGCCCTTTCTGTGTGTGTGTGTGGGGGGTGAAGGCAAAGCTGGGGTAGGCTGGCGGTGGGGGGCTTTAGCTCAAGGTGAGGTGAGTGCCTCTCCTTTCACTCAGCAGATATCAGCTGAGTTCTCCGTACCAAAGGCAGTGTGCTGGCCTCACAGCAGGGCCTGGGGCCGGGACATGCAGGTTAGCAAAGGACCATTTGAATCAAAACCACAGCAGGAGTCAGCCCTGCAAGCTAAGAGCCTGAAATGGGCACGTGGTAGAGGTGGCACCAAGGAGAGCTACTGAACTGAGCAGGCAGGAGGAGGAAGAGGATTCCAGACAGAGTCAAGAGATGATGTGGAAGCCAGGGCAGGCTTGGACTGAAAGGTTGGCACTGAGCACAAAGGGAAAGACAGGAGCTCTGGAAGAGAGGCCAGAGAGGAGGTGGGGCCAGGCCAGCAGGTAGCATCAGGAGCCCAGATCCCCAGCTGGTGCGGGGAGAGAAGACCAGAAGGAAAGGCAGGGCTCTCTGCCTTTCCCAGCAGTACCAGGTCTTGCCGACAGAGGGAAGTGCTGCAAGCTGTCCTTGGCACAGATGGGAAGGAGGTAGGTGGCAGCAATCAGGTTTGCTTGTTATGGTGTAAGCCAAAGGACCATCAGCTCTAGGGTGTGCAGATTCAGGAAGCCTGGAGAATGACGATCTGAGTGAGACCTTGGAGCCGGCAGGAGGAGAGAAACAAGGAAGAGAGGGTCTTCCCAGGGTAGCTCAAGCTCACTGCCCGGCCTTCCCTGTGTGCCCTACATGGCCACGAGAAGTGATTCCAAGCTGAACGATGAGGACCCTCATCTGGGGGAGATGGCTCCCTGACAAGAAATGGAGAATCTGTTTGAGTCTGGGTGTAGCATTTCAAATAATCAGATCTCTTCACCCTTGGAAAGACTGACCCTGTCTCTCGTGTGGCCCTTACAGTCCTGGAGCGTTTCCTCACACATCTTCTCATTTGTTGCTCCTCACAACTTGAAAATTCCTTGTTGTATGGCCATAGAGAAGTATCTTCTAAATCGGGGTTCCCTGACGCCTAGGCTGTGGCCTGGTGCTGGTCCATGTTTGGTTAGGAACAGGCTGCACAGCAGGAAAACCAGGCATGTATCCTCCGTGCTCATGCCGCTCACCACCGCTCCTGTTCCCACCTGAGCTCCGGCTCCAGTCAGGTCCATAGCACTGAATTCTCAGAAGAGCTTGAACCTTGCTGTTGCACACTTGGGTCCAGCTGGTGGGGTCCTTGTGTGCGTCCCAATCCCCCCAGGCCCACAGAAAGCTTGTCTTCCATGAAATTCAACAGTAGAAAAAAAAAAAAAAAAGGTTTGGGACTGCTGCTCTAAATTATAAAAGGAAAAACAATTTGATATAAAATGATGCAGCCATGCAAATCTTTAGACACTCATCAGACTTACCTGGCCCCTGCAGGGCCTCAACAGATTCTAAGTCTCTGTTCCCCCCCTGGGATAGGAGGTGCAGGGATCCTAGAGAGTCTGAAGGAAACCCTGACCCCTGGAGGGGAAGTGATTTGCCCAGTGCCCATCAGCTGAGGCTCAGAAGAGGGGCCAGAGAGTGCTCGGCTGGTTTCTCCTGGATGCTGAGGTGGGAGGCCTGGGGCCGTCAGCAGCTCCTGGAGCCACTTAGCAGCTGGGTCTTCCTGTCCACAGACACTTTACCATCAGACCCTGGATGCTCTGCAGACCCTGCTCAATGCCCTCTTTGTTGAAGACCCCACTCCTGCTGGGCTCAAGAGCATCTTGGAGGTGTGGGAAGTGGGCAGCAGAGGGCAGAGGGGAGTGCGAAATTGCTTAAGGGCAGTAGGAGCTGGGCTAGGGGAGGGATGCGGCCTCAGAATGTCGCTGTTGCTGTTGCCTGTCTCTTTTCTCTCCTGCTCATGTCCCTCCCCATGCTGGGCACTCCTCTACTTCCCTCTGGCCTGTCAATGTGGTTCTCAGCTCCCTGTCTCTGTCTTTCCCTATACCCACAAGTAGGCAGTGGGTGTGGGGAATCACCTTCTGGAAGCTTCCTGCAGATTGCTGCGGGCTGGCTGCCCAACCAGCAGGGCTGAGCCTTGCCCTTGTCCCCCAGCCCTTGGGGCCCTGGATGAACTCTGGGAAGGCCCACGAGCGTGCTCGGGCTGTGAACAGCAACGTGTCTCTGCTGAACCACACGCTCCTGAGCCTGCCTTTCTATGTGAGTGCCCCACAGGGCTAGAGATGTGGGTGGGGTCTCCCTGTCACAGAGCTCTGCTGTCAGGGTGGCCTACCTGGCTGTGGTTATCATGTGCTGGGTGGAGTGGTGGGATCTGTGAAACTCAGCCCCTGTGCTATAACAGATGTCCTCGGGGTTCCCTGCACTGGGGCTTCTGCTGGGGAGGCTCATTCTTCGTATTGGGGATCCGGACGAAGAGATTGGCCGGGAGGCTCTGGATGGCATCACTATCCTTTACACAATCCTGGAGCTCCAGAAACGTAAGTGCCACTGAAGGGCCCGGAGCAAGGTGTCTGGACTGGGCTGGAGCTGTCCTGGAGTCTTTGTTGTTGTTGTTGTTGTTTTTTTTTTTTTAAATTTTATTTATTTGTGTGTGTGCGTGTGTGTGGCCAGCTCAGCCCACCAGGGGGCGGGGCTGGCTGGCATCTGGTGCTGGGGGATTGAACCGCGGTCCCTGTGCTTTGCTAAGCTTGTTCTAAGTAGGTGCTTTAGACCACTGAGCCATCTCACCAGCCCCTGTCCTGGAGTCTTTGGAGGGAAAGGAAGAGATGTACAGGGTCAGACAGGGAATGCGGGAAGTGGTGTGAAGCCTGGGTTCCCACGGAACTAGAACCGGGGCAGAGGCTGCCTCAAATCTGTCTGACACGCAGGCAGTTCTAGCTGAGCTCCTCCCATCGCTCCAGGCTTGGTCTTCTAGTCCTTCCCACTTTTCTGCAGAGCTGTGCACACCCAGGCCGACAGTCGGCGTGTCTCACTGGCTCGTAGGGCAGTGCTGTGTCTTGGTCACTGCCAGGTCAAGAGTGGCAGGGCACAGATTGCTGCTGAGAGGTGAACGGAGTAGGTCCTGCCCTAGGTTCCAGGGAGCTGGCGATGGTGCACATGTTGGGAGTGGTATCCTGCTGCCTCCTGCCTCCTTCCTTTGCTGTAGTCCCAACTCTTCCCCCATGCAGGGGACATTGGCCTATCTTTTAAGCCCCCTGCTCTGGAGGCCATGACCTGACTGTGGCCCTTCCTACCTCATGAGCTCAGGAAACACTTCTCTTCTGTGCAGACTTCCCCAGCTGTGTAGGGCACAGTCCACAAGCTCTGTGAGATACTGGATGACATCTGTCTAGAGTGTGACCAGCTCTCTGCCACCCAGCATGGACACCTATCAAATAGAGTTCTTTTTCCCCATTCCTCCAGCCTGTGGGATCTGTCTTGTGTCCTCCTCCTCTTCTTCCTGTTGTTGTTGTTCTCTTTCTCCTTCACTCCCCACCCCCCGCCTTTTTTTTTTTTAAATAAGATCTTCCTATGTAGATCAGGCTGGCCTCAAACTCAGGGTGATCCTCCTGCCTCAGCCTCCCAAGTGCTGGGATTACAATCATGCACCACCATGAATGGCTTTTTTGGTGTTTTGAGACAGGGTCTCACTACGTAGTTCAGGCTGCTCTTGAACTCTGAATCCTGCTGCTTCAGCCTCCCAAGTGCTTGGATACAGTCCATACCCTCTTGATCTCAGGCATTTGGGGCAAAGATTTGGCCCCTGGCCCCTGGCAGCTTTTCCTCACTAATCCAGCACCATCATGCTTTCTAAGTGATAAAGGTTAAGTCTCATGAATAAACATCCTTAGGGGCAGGAGCAGCATAGACCAAATTAAGGTTGCTGGATTTAGCTAAAAATATAGGGCACACAATTAAATCTGACCTTCAGATACATTCTGAATTTCTTATATTTTGTGTGGAAGCCCTAGGGCAAGCCCACACTGCTTGCTTCTCCAGGAGTAATGTGATTCATCCAGGTCATGTAAGTGTAGGAGCACGCAAGGGGAACAGGCCTGCCAGCCCCTGCTTCCCACTCGTGTGTGCACATGCACATGCACGTGTGTGCCACTTGGTGGTGCCTGAGCCTTTCTGCCTCGAGGGCATCTTAGAAGCACCCAGACCCAGCCGCAGTGAAGGACCCGGAAGTGGGCCTGCAGAATGCTTCCAACAATAGGAAATAGGGAGCTGCAGAAGGCCTTGGAGGGTCTGAGAGATTCAGGACCTGACTGCCTTGTGGGGCTTCCCTGCATGCTGTCAGGGGACAGTAGCCCAAAACAAGTGACATGCAGAGACCTAAAGACAATAAAGACTAGAGGAAAAAACAGTCATGGAGGGGATGGGGACTGCTGAGGGGCAGAGCTTGCAGTTTGAAGATGGTGTCAGCCAGCCAGGGCTGAGCACCATGATAAAGCACTCTCACCTGGGGGCAGAGACCCGGGATCCACCCTGGCAGAGCAAAAAAGAGAAAAAATATAAAAGGGTATTTCCCTTCAAAATGGCAAAAATGTGACAGATAATGGCCTGTGCCAGTGAGATGTGTGCTGATGGGGTCCTCAGACACTGCCTCAGGAGCTGATTGGTCTCCACTGTGGAAAATGGGTTGGCAGCGTCCCTGGAAGCTGTCCCTTTACCCACCCTGTGAGTCAGTCCTTTCTTCCCTGCTCATCCCTCGCCAGTGTGCAGATATGTTCCCGGGAACACGCCTGAGAGGGGCTCACCTGGGCAGATCTCTCATCCATGGTGCGTCTGTATGCTAGAAGATTGTATAGCCTGGTTGGGCACACCTGTAATCCCAGCACTTCTAGAGGCTGCGGCAGGAAGCTTGCAAGCTTGAGAACAGCCTGAACAACCAAGTGATTTAGTGTGACCCTGTTTTAAAATTTGTAAAAAGTTTTATTTATTTATTTAGTATTTTAGGGAAGGGTCTACAGGGTGTTGAGGGTCTCACAACTAGATCGGACTCGTAGTGATCCGCCTGTTTACAGCCTCCCAAGAGCTGAGATTACAGGCGTGTGCCACCACACCCAGTCTCAATTGCCCCCCGGGGTGGGGCCGGCACAGCAGGCCTGGGCTTCAATCCTTGTAAAGAGTTTTCAATGGCGGGGGCAGTAGCTTGGTGTGACAGCCTGGGCTCACTCTGCAGCGCTGAGAGCGAGGGAGGGCGCTGAAGCTGTGGGCTGCAGCATTAGCAGAGCCCACTCGCAGAGCGTGGAGTAAGGAACCAGATGCTACAGATAACAGTGTGGGGGGCCATCTATCTAAAGGGCCCTAGAAGTCAGGATAGTGGCTGCCTGGGTGTGGGTGGGGATGGTCCCAATAGGGGTGCTGGGTGGGGCTCTGCAGTGCTCATCAGGCTCTGTTTCTTGACCAGCACCACCCAGGTGTGTTCACTGTGTGACAGTCAGGCCAGCTCTGATGCAGAAATTGGGTACTTCTTGCCTCTGTATTCAAAGGAACCCCCAGCAACAGGCTGTGATGCCTCTTCTCTTGCAGGAGCTGGAGATGAGGACAAAACCAACAAGAAGGAGCTGTATGAGAGCAACAAGCGCTTTCTGGGGCCCTACGACCCCATCAGCCCGAGCCAGAACATTCTACGTGTGATTGCGGTGACTGCAGGGACAGCCGATGCTCTGCTGCTGACCCGGGTGGGAAGGGAGGCCAGGCCCAGTGCCTGCTCCTCACCAGCGTCCCAGATGGCCTGGGTGCTTTGCAGGAGGCCTTTCCTACCGCAGCCTCCAGCAGAGGGCTGTGACTTCCTTCTCACTGACAGGTGTCCCCCAGGCCTGGGTGCAGGGACCTTGTTGCCCCTAGATTTGTAGCTGTTCCCTGAGAACTCAGCACCCGTGGAGAAGGGTGTGTGCACAGCCCTCCCTCAGATCCATGTCTGTGCCATGGCCCACACATGTTTTGTGTGTGGCCCTGGGGCTGACAGGCAAGGCAGGACCTCTGTGCCTGGCTGTGTTCCAGGAGTTTGGAGACTTCTTGGGCCCCCAGCAAGTGAAGGACCTGCTGCTGGCAGCTGTGGAGGGGCTGAGGGGAGGCTCGGAGGCTCTGGGGCAGGACTCTGGAGAGATGATGCAGCTGGCCTCCGAGGTCACGCTCAGCTCCGTGCTGGAGTGGTACCGCCACAGGGCACTGGAGGTGGTAAGGTGGGGGGCACGGGCTCCCCTCCCCAGGCATGCCTGGGTGTGGGCTGGGTGGGGCCCAGCCTGAGACCTCAGCTATGCTGTGGGAGTGGGTGGGGAGGGCGGAAAGAGGAAGCGCCCACCCTGGGAGCAGCGGCCCTGCGCCCCTAGCCCTTCTCTCCTGTGCTGCTCCCTGCCTCTCCTCCTGCCCCTGCTCGTTTCCTGCCTGCCTTCCTCCTCTTGCTTTCCCACGCCTCCCTGGGCTTCTCCAGTGAGCCTTCCTTCTGCTCCCTCCTGGCCACCACCAGATCCCAGAAATCATGCAGGGCATCTACCTGCAGCTGGGCCACATCCAGGAGCCAAGGGCCCGAGAGGTGGCCCTGCTGCCCGTCTCCTTCCTGGCCAGCTCCTTCATGACCGAAGTTGTGGTGGCCCTGCTCATGTGCCCCCTGCCACTGGACAGGTACAGAATAAGGAGGCTCCCAGCTGCCCCTACATCCCATCCTCCTGTCCAGAGAAGCCCTGACCTCCCCAGTGACCCCTGTTCTGTGATCTTGGTCCATAGGATGACCACTAGACCCTTCCCAAGTAGTGCTGGGTGTCAGTAGCCCCATTTTACAGATGGAACTGAGGCCGAAGGAAGTTTCTTGCCTAGGGCTACCTCTTGCAAGAGGACCTAGGTCAGGCCTGGCTGACTCCAGGCTCAGAGTGCTTTAAAGAGGCTGTGGGAGGAGCCCTGTGTCCCGGCCCTGACTCATCTTCCGGCATCACATGGTCTTGGGCATCCTGTTTGTCCTGTCCTCTTGAGCGTTCCCCAGGGAAGGGAGGAAATGGTCCCCGTGTTCACCCCTGGAGGGCAGTGAGGTAAAGCTGCACAGAGCCCATTCAGCCTTCGGCTGGGCCTGGGGTGCCCCCTGGGCAAGGAGACCAGGCTGCTGGCCTCAGCCTTTCAGCCCAAAAATGCTCCACTCCTTCTTTGGGGGAGTAAAAGAAGGCAGTAATGGCAAGCATGGTGGTGCCCATCTGTAATGCCAGCACTGGGAAAGCAGAGGCAGGAGGATTGCTCTAAGTTTGAGGCCAACCTGGGCTACATAGTGAGTTCAAGGCCAGCCTGAACTGCATAGCAAGCACCTGTTTCCAGAACAAACACCCCTCCAAAAACCAGAACAAAACAAGAAAAAGAAGGCAGTGGTCAGTCTACCCTTAGGATACACCTTTGGTGTAAATGAGAAAGAATCCTACAGAGGCATACAAGTGAGGCGTGCTCCACTGAGGAGAGCTGGGTCCTTACAGAAGCCCAGGACAGCAGTGGGCCCTTCTCCGGCTGGAAGGCTTTGGTCCTCTCAGGCTGTGCTCTCTGCCCGGAAGGAGCTTCTGAGGTCCACTAAATGGACTCACAAGACCCATAGGGGCCATGCTCGATCTCACAGTTGGCCATGGGAGAGGCCGAGTGGAGGCAGCCAGGCATTGGGCTGGCCTGCTGGGCCAGGCCGCATTCGAGTGAGCCTGCAGTGATGGTCTCCTCACGTCTGCCTCCCTTTCCTCTGCCTCAGAGCCAGTCTCCTGGGCCTCCCGGATAAGCTCAGGCACAAGGGAAGGAGACGCATGCTGTGGACAACACATGAGCCACCCTGGCTCACACGGTGCAGGGCTCAAAGGCCCAGGGTCACTTAAGCCGACCCCAGGCCTGGCTTCCAACAGACACAAGCTCTGCACAAGGGCCTTCCTCCTGGGAAGCTCCATCCTATGGCACTGTCATCAGTGCCTTTAGTTAATTATTAGTTCCAGGCCTCATGCGATTTACCAAGTGGGCACAAAGATGACCACTGTTAGCATCAGCACTGTTTCCTAGCAACATAGTTGACATACTGTTTTTATCGGGCTTCCAGGGGAACAAAGCTAGAAAGTGGGTGGGAGGTTCAGAGGCTCTTGTGGAAGGAGAATGGTCTCTTGGTGCTCAGCACACAGTCAGCCCCCTAGCAGGAGTGCTGCAGGCTGCTGTCCGCCAGGCATTTGTCCTGCAGGGGCTTGAGCCAGCTCCCTGGTGTTCTGTGACTCGGGCCTCATCCAGGCCCCAAGTGCTCCCTGACCTCAGGGCTGCTCCTTGCACAGAGGATGAGCACAGGTGCTGGAGGCCTGATCTGCCGCCTGTGCTGCCTGCTGGCTGTGCTGTCTTGCACAGGTGATTTCACCTCTGCGAGCCTCCACTCCACGTCCACGGCCTGGGAGGAACCACGCCCGCCCTGGGAGTCATTACGAGAGCTGGGTGGCTTAGAATATTTGAGTTCTTGGTCAAGACCACATCCCCAGAGATCTGCCCAGTGCCTGGCACAGGCCTGGGTCCTCTGACCTTTGCTAAAGTACTAGATAGAATGTTAGCCCTGGCGTGGAGCCTGAGGTGGGCTTGCCAGTGCCGTCAGCCTGGGCGCTGGGGCGGTTTTCTGCATGCCCTTGCTGGGGTGCCCACAGGTGCCCTCATGGGCTCACACATCCCCCAACCCTGAAGCCATTGGGGTCGGGAGCCCCCTAACCATCCGTCCCTGCCCTCAGCAACGGAGCTGAGATGTGGAGGCAGCTAATCCTGCGCAAGCCCAGCTGTGACATCAGAGACCTTCTGGATCTGCTGCTGACCAGCCTGAAGGAGAAGCCTGTCACCAAGAAAGGCCAGGCCTCCATCATGCCCCTGGCGGTGAGGACCCCGCCTGCCAGTGCCCCTATGCTCACACTGTTGTGGTCCTTCTAAATGCCACACCACACTCTGGGCTCTAGGCTTGTACCTACTGGGTGAGCTACTAGTGCCCCCTGTGGGATGGCACTGGGGTGGTGGGAGCAGAATGACTTTGGAGTCGCATACCTTACAACCTGCAATTGCTGTTTTGAGAGAGGGGCAGGTCACCTCATGTCTGAGCCTCGGTCTGTACATCTGTGTACAAACAGTAATATCCAACTGGGCACAGTGAGGGGCACTGGCTTTCTCAAGAGGATTGCAAGAGGGAGCCCAGCCCAGGCCACTCAGTGACCTAGCAAGGTTGAGTCTCAAGATAAGAAATTTTTAAAAGAGTTGGGAATGGAGCTCAGAGTGGAAGCCTTAATTAAGTTCAATCCCTAGTACCACACACGAGCGCGTGCATGCACACACACACACACACACACACACACATGTACATGCACAATCACAGGGAATAATACCTGTATGATCTACCTCTTGCGGTGCGTGACTTCCTCATTCATGTGGAGTGCTTTGTGTTTCCTGGTGCTTAGCTCTGGGCTCCTCCCTAGGACAGGAGGAATAGCACTCTGGCCCAGACGCCTCACATTCTGTGTGCCTGTGTGGATGAGAAGGAGCCAGGATGCACTCTGGCTGGCATCTACCTGAGAAGCTTGGGCCTGGCTCCTGCTTTACCCTTGTCTTTTACCTGCAAACTGGGATCGCTGTTCTGCAAGTCTCAGGAGGGGGAGGGGTCCCCTCCCCATGATCCCACCAAGGCTGCATACTGTCCAAGCCTTGGGCAAAGCTAGCAGACCAGCTCTGGTCATTTCTGGGCTGGGACTGGGGCTCTAGCATTGGGGGTTGAGGTCTGGAGGTAGTGGGTAGGATTTAGGCTTTTTCAGGCTGGCTAGCGATGAGTGAAGACCTGGGTCCAGCCATGCAGAGGCCGAGCTGTAGGCCTCAGCCTGAGTCAGGTCAGCCGCTGGTCTCCCCTCTGCCCCCAGGCAGCCAGTGGCCTGTGTGAGCTCCTATCCGTCAACACCTGTGCAGGCCAAGTGAGGCGCATCTACCCCCAGCTGCTCCTGGCCCTGCTCATCCAGGTCCACTACCACATCGGCCTCAAGTTGCCTGGCCACAGGGTTCCGGGCAAGGACCCCAAGGACGGTGGGCAGCTTCTCCCCTTCAGGCCTGTACGGTAAGCTCTGCTATCTCTCTGGGCCCTGCTCGCTGGCAGTGGGGAGGGGTGCCACCCAGCCAGGGCCCCTGCAGTGGCCTTCCAGGCAGTAGAGACGAACACATTCTGGGATTAGGAGGAGGAAACACAGGCGGACCTTTGTTAGCATTGATGCTTCATTCAGTAGCTACCGTCGAGCACCTGCTTCTGTGTCCTCCTTCATACTTAGCACAGGATGGCTTAAAAAACCCAGACTTCCCCAAGGACTGAGGCCCAAAAGTCCGTCCTCCTTCCCCATCTGTTTTATTTTTAACTAATTATTGGCTGGAATAGGCCATGTATGCACATGGGTAAAAAAAAACAAAAAACAAAATCCAAAACCTCAAAAGATGTTAAAGTTAGTCTCTTCCTGCCCTACTTCAGTTCCCTTCCTCAAAGACAAGCAGGTTCTTTTCTGCCCTTCTGGGGGTGGCTGTGCAGGGACAGACACATTGTTTCCATTGTGTTTTTACAGCAGGGGCTGCACACATCCCAGGGGCACGCAGGTGTGCGCCTGTCAGGCACTGTATCCCGGGGCCCAGCACCCGGGAGCTGCCTCGTTGTTTCTGTCTGCTGCGGGCAGCCCTGGTGTAGAATCCCATGTGCAGTATGCTTGCCCGGCTCCTCATGCTGTGGCTACGTCCCTGCCTTCTGCTGGGGCAGACAGGCTGCGGGAGTGCAGCAGCCTTCTGTGTCCTTACACACACTGTCGCTCGTATGTGCAGAGCAAGCTCCCACGGGTGGAATGCCCCACTTGATGCCCTCCGCATCTGAACACTAAGGTGACACAGGAATACACGGGGGACGAGTTCTGGGCCATCGAGCAGTCGTGGTAAAGCAACATGACTCCCCATGCCCAACCTGTACACCAGAGTGTGCACTGCGCTCCCACCATCACAGGATATTATGAAACTTTTAAAAAATGTATTTGGCACAGGGTCTCACTATGCAGCTTGGACTCGTAGTAATCCTGTTTTGAACCTCCCCAGTGCTGGGATTACAAGCATGCACCACCATGCTGGGTCTCGGTGGCCCACTCAGCATGCCTGGGGGATGGGGCCAGTGTGGCATGTGGTGCCAGGGATTGAACCCGGTCCCTGCACTTGCCTAAGCAGGCACTTAGTCTGCTGAGCAAACATCTTTATTTTTGCCAGCCTGCAAGTTGTAAGAGTAAAAAAGTATTTTGCCATAGTTTTGGTTTGCAATGTTTATTTAAATGAGGTTGAGGTCTAAATGTCGCTTGTGTAGTCCACTTCTGTGAATGTGCTATTCTTATCTCCTGGCCGGTTTTACATAGGACTTTTGGGATTTTTTTTTCCTTATTAATTTGGAAAAGCTCTTTACATATTAAGGAACTCAACTCTTTGTCATTGGCATTCCAGTTTGCCACTTAACCTGCAATTATTTTAGGGTCTCTTGCCATTCAGAAATTTAAGCTATTACGCAGCCAAATTGTTGGGTCTTTTTGTTTTACTCCCTTGGTGCATTAGGTTCAGACAGCTGCAGACACAGGGGCAGAGGGTGGGCTTGCGGGCGAAAGGCCTCACATTTGAGCCCCTAGCTGCTGCTTTGTTCTTTGGGTAAACAGGTGTGTGGTGGTTTGTTTGTTTATTTATTTATTTAGGTCTTTTTGGAGACCATTTCAGGCCCCTATGAACTCACTTTGTAGCCCTGGCTGGCCTCTAACTCACTGTGATCCTCCTGCCTCAGCCTCACAAGTGCTGGGATCATAGGTGTGCGCCACCACACTTGGCTTTGGGTACATGGATTTTGCTCCATAGGGCATCATGAGGACCAAATAGGATCACGCTGCCTGCCCTCCATGAAGCTTCACCCCAGTTCCGATTCCCCTCACCTTCATGGGGGCTGTGTGGAAAGATGGGGGCCTCTGGGGAGACAGGAAGAAGACAAAGAGCTCCACAGGAGGAGAACAGGGAGCAAGGCGAGGAAGTGCTCTCCTATGTGGGAAGGACGACACTGACCAGCTGAGGACCACATGAGCACTGGAGGGGAGCTTGGACAGTGCTCCCCAAAGCTATGTCCCCTTGGACCCTGTGGCCATGAGCTTATTTGGAGGAAGGGTCTCTGCAGATGTCACTGGATTGGACATCTCCAGAGGAGCTCGTCCTGGTTAACCAGGCCTTCTGCACAACCCCGAGTGCTCTTCTGAGAGGAGGAGAGATTCTGACACAGAAGAAGGGTTCTGAGGATGTTGACAACGAGTGGTAAGGTCACTGCCCCAAGCAGGGAACTGCGACATCAAGGAAGATCCAGAGGGTGCATGTGTGGCCAACACCCTGATTTGGGCATCTGGATCCTGGAATGAGACTCCTTTCTATGATTTGAAGCCACCCAGTTGTGACTTGGTACAGCAGCAGTGAACACTGCCACCCTGGAGTGTGGCCCTGGCATGAGTCATGGGAACACTGGCATGTGTGTGTCTGTCTGTGTGTGCACACCTCAGTCACAACCCTGTGAGGAGCAGCAAGTACTCTATGAGTGTGACAGATAGATCTACCAACCCTGCCATCTCAGGCAGGGGCTGGAAGGGCGCCAGAAGCCTGGATGGACGCAGCCTCGGGGACAGGGCCCAGGGGCTCATTTTGCAGCCTCCCATTCCTGGGCCCCAAGGCAGCCTTGGGGCTTTTGTGCTATTCCTGGGGGGATTGGTGCCTTCTCCTTCCCGGTGAGGGCAGAGGCAGTGGCCTCTCACAGCACCTCTTGTCCACTTGGCTAAGAAAACCTCCGAGGAGGGTGAAATTGCCAATGGGCTTTAGGGGCCCAAAGAGCCTCCCACCGATCTCCTTGTAGGGCCACTCTGCCCTTTTACAGGGCAGCAGCATCGTGTGGGCCAGGCTCCTACAGCAAATCTTTGGGAGTGGGATGGGGAGGAAAAGAGAAATAGGGTATTTTCTTGTCCAAACATGGAGCTCAGCTGAGGAAGTGAGTGAACCACAGAGGGGACAAGAAGGCAGGTGGTGGGCTGGGCTTGGGAACTTCAGCCTACATAGACTCATCCCACGATGCATATGACTTGGGAAGTTCTAGCCTGGCTGCAGCTGGATGGATCCTGTCCCAGCACTGTTCACGGGAAGACAGCCAAGTTAGTCTGGGAGGTGGGGCTGTACCCAACAGAATAGCAGCACACACCCAGGTAGCTCTCCTGCTTTAGCAGAAGATACTAGTGCTGGAGTCTGGGGAGAGGAGACACTGCTGGCAGGGGTTCTCCTGGCAGCACACATTTCAAAGCACAAGCATTAAGGTGGAATTACGCTGAAGGCCTGACCTTTGGAGAAACACTGATTTCACACATTATTACTCTTCCTTAAGAGCAAATTCTGTAGAAGTACTGAGCTTTAAAGTACTCTGTCTTGATTTATGAAGACAGCAGCTCTTAGTATTGTCTGTACTAGTGCAGCCTGATGCTACGGCTTTTGTCTAGATGTCCCTCCAAAGCCTCGTGCGGTCATAGGTGAGGACTTTTCAGAGGTGACTGGATCTAGCATGGGTAGTGCTCTAGGATCGATTCGTGGTGGAATGCTAGGATTGAGGGCACTAGGATTAAAGGTGTGAGCGCTACCCATCCTCAGTAGCCTGGATAAAATATAAGGGACAGAAAGAGCTGTGGCTGTCCCTTGCTTGTTTTGCTACCTTCTGCCTGCCATGAACTGTTTCTCCTCTGGGATGCCCCTCTGCCCTACCACCCTGCCTTGGAGCCAGTGGCCTATGGACTGACACCTCTACAAACTGAGAACTAAATAAACCTTTCCTCCCTTAAATTGTGGGTGTTGGGTATTTTGTCTTAGTAACAAAAAAAGTAATGCAGATTTGGTCCCGATAGTGGGTTCTTTGCTGTGCTGTACCTGGCCATCTGATTTAGGAGCCTTTGGAACTGGCTACAGGAAGGAGAAAGTTAGGGAAGGCTTGGAGATGCCTGCTGAAAAAGTAGAGCTGGAGCATCGTAGGCCATACTTGATGGGAGAATCTGGTTAGAGCTCAGAAGACCAGAATGTTGATAGAAAAGTTGTGGGAAAGACTAGGCTTGAGAGGTTTTGCTGGGAAGAAGGACTGCATTGGCTTGTTTTTCTTGTTTATTTGCTGAGACAGGATCTCACTATGTAATCCAGGCTGGTCTTGAACTTACTTTTACAGCGCAAGTTAACCTCAGACTCCCAGAGATCCTCCTGCCTCAGCCTTCCAGGTACTGGAATTATAGGTGTATACCATCACACCTGGCTTGTGTTGGCTGTTGGACTCCAGAACACACGTGTTATGGCTTGGCAGAAAGTTTTGCTCATATCAGAGACTTTGCCTGAGACTGAGACCAAAGATGGTAGACTAATCTTGTGGAAGAAATTCCAAGGCAATCTAATGTTGAGATTGTTGTATGGCTACAGGTGGGGGCTTTTAGCCATATTTATATTGAGAAGAACAAAGAGTGAACAGAATGATTTAATAAGTTGTGAGTTTGGCCAGGAAGGAAGCTCCAGTAAAGTTGCTGCCTGAAAAGATGGGATGGAGGAGAAACTGATTGCTAAAAAGACTATCAAGAAAAAAGTCAAGTATTTCAGAAGAGGACAACAGAAAAGATGGCCTGAGGACATCACAAGAACCACTTCAGAACTGCGAAGATGAAAGAATTTGCTTTTAGAAGAAAGTCCCAGAACACCATCTTCCAGAATGGCAGCAGCCTAGAGAATTTGTTTCTTGGGATTTGGTTCAGGGTGCACAGTGATCCAGGCACTCAACCCCTACAACCAGAAAAGAGAGAAGCCTGGCTACTGTAGCTGGCAGCAGAGCTTGGCATCACCCATGTGGTGCTGGTTTTAGGTGCATGCAGAATGCAAGAGCTATGGGATCAGAAAGGCTTTCACCCAGGTTTCAAAAGAAGGCTCTGGAAGGCAGGCAGTGTGCCCTTGAAAGGGCAGTGTGTGAAGTTATGAACGTGAAACTGAAGGTACAATGGAAACCCAGTAGGTGGATCGCCTGAGGAAAGCTGCAAGGAGGGAGCAGAGCAAGTCAGTGAGAGAAGCCATGGGAGCTGCCACCACTGGAGGTGCCCTGGGGGCGTCCCAGCCCTTGGGAGCTCATATCTTGCCAAAGACTGCCTTGGATGCTGCACATCTGACTTGATGTTTGACCTCCTGGAATTTGGATTTGCTTTGTTCCCATGCCTCTATCTATCTCCTGCCCACCATTTATACCTTTTGGAATAGAAATGTCTATCATGTGCCATTAAAGGTTGGAAGTGTTTAACTTTCTTTTTATTTGTGCAGGAGCTCAGACCTAAAAGTTTGCCTTAAGTCCCAGAGGAGATTTAGGACTAAGATTTTTTAGCAATGCCTAAACTGTTAGGACTTTGGCAACTGGAGGAATGGAGAGAATGTTATAGTTTATGTCTGGATGTCCCCTCACAACCTCATGAAGTCATAGGTGGGGATTTTTCAGAAGTGGCCGGATCTAGAATGTGTGATGCTGGGATTAAGGGTGTGATTGCTAAATCAGTCCACTGATTGATTTGGCATCTGCCATGATCCCAGTAGCCCAGATAGAGATAAAAGAGGCAGAAAGAAGCTGCTAAGGTCCCTGCTTGCTTTGCCACTTTCTGCGCACCATGGACTCTCATCTGTCCCCTGCACTGCCCCTCTGCCATTCTACGGTGCCTTGGAACCAGCCAGTTATAAGCTGAAACCTCTACAAATCATAGGCAGATAAAGGTTTCTTCCATTAACTTTGGGCATCAGATGTTTAGTCCAGAGAATGAGAAAAATGACTAAGACTCATGGATTCTGCGGGAAAACATTTAGGCTTCTGCGATACTGCGTCAGTGTAAACTTCATTCTGCATGTTGTCAGTTTTCATTTCAATAAAAGTTTATATATTCATTTCATGTGTCTCATAATATATTTTTTTAAAGTTAATACTGGGGACTGAAGTCTAGGCTCTTGCGCTGAGCAACATTCCTGTACCCCTTTCATTATTTTATTTTTTAATTTTTCAGAACCGGGGTTTGAACTCAGGCCCTTGCACTTGCCGGGCAAGAGCTTATTTTACTGAGCCATTTCCCTGGCCCCTGAACACAGTTTTTCTTTCTTTCTTTCTTTCTTTCTTTCTTTCTTTCTTTCTTTCTTTCTTTCTTTCTTTCTTCTTTCTTTTTTTCTTTTTTTAAAATTTTTTATATTTTAGGACAGGGTCTACAGGGTGTTCAAGTTCTCACTACTAAACCGGACTTGTAGTGATCCGCCTGTTTACAGCCTCCCAAGAGCTGGGATTACAGGCGCATGCCACCATGCCCAGTCTCAATTGCTGTCTCAGCATGCCCCAGGGGTGGGACCAGCACAGCAGGCCTGGGATCGAACCCCATCCCCTACACCTGCTTGCAGGTACTTTAATCTGCTGAGCTATCTGGCTGGCCCCTCATTATTATTTTGAGACAGAGTCTTGCTAAGTTGCCTGAGCTGGGTTCACATCTGTTGCTCTCCTGCCTCAGCCTCCAGGAGTGCTGGGATTACAAAGGTGCCCAACCTCCTAAGGACTTTTGGTTGATGTGCAGCCATGTGTATGCCTGTGGTTCCCTAGGATTACAATGGAGCACAGATGTATAGCAGTCCAAACCATTTAGGTTTGTGTGAATACACACAAGGGGTTATGGAGCCTCTGTTTCTCATAGCAGAACCCCGTATTCTGTCTTGAAATGGTGTGTGCCTGTGTATGGAAGACAATACAGGAGAGTGTCAGTGGATGGCACCCCTTTCATGGGCCCAGGGTGCTCACTCAGGAGTTTAAGAAACACAGAGGCCTGAGCCCCAGCTGGTTGTTCCCCAGGGAGTGAAAGCCTCCCTTGTTTTCCTGGCACCCAGTTTGGGAGCCGCTTCTTCAGTATCCTGAGGCAGGAAAGGACTTAGGCTGGATGGAGGCTGAGTACCAAGGTGAGCAGAGGGCCCAGTCCTGGGCTTGCTGTGGAGGGGCAGGAGAGAGGTAGGACATAGCAGGATCCTCCAGCAACAATGTTTCAGGGAAAACCCTGTCTTCACAGGAGGGGAGTTTTGCTTCTGTTTCCTCTCTGTTTCTCAAAGCGAAATATTGTTTGTAAAGAGCCAGGCTTCAGGAACTCACTTCAGTGCTCTAGATGATGATTTACGTGGTGGGAAGAAACCTGTGGTGAGGGGCAGAGGCCTGGCCTCAGGGGTGCTACCCCTTCTCGCAGCTGGGTGGTGAAAGTGGTGAAGACACTGCTGCTGAAGATGGGCTGCTCACAGGAGGCTGCGTTTGTGGAGGCCGAGGGTGGCTGGGAGCTCATGGAGCAGGCGGAGGGCCATCACCTTGGAGTGTCACTGCTGGCCAGGTGAGGCCCTGGGTGCCCAGGACAGGAACAGATGAGCCCCCCACTCCATTACCTTGTCCCTGCAGCTGGGTGGGCACTCCCTCTGTGGCAGGTGGGCAGTGGGTGGCACAGAGGGAGTGAGGACTCCTCCCAGGTATGGGAGCTAAGGTGATGGGGCAGTGGCAGAGCCCTTAGTTATTTACCAAGTGTCTCTGCTTCTGTGTGAATTTTGTTCCCACATTAAAACAGACACAGAGGTGCAACCAAGAACTTGGGAGGGTGGTCTTGGGGACATCTGTCTTCGACTCAGCGTCAGACACTTCCCAGTTTATCAGAGGCCAAGCTAGTTCCGGTTCTTCCATCCCCTCAGAAGTATGGAAATAGTCCGCATCCATTCTTCAAAGGGCAAGGAGGGATTAAAGTACTGGGAATAGCCCTGGCATATGCTGAGACCGAGATGCAGGTTCACTTTGTTGCCCTGACGGTGACGGGGGCAGAGATGGATGCACGTGCTGCACTAGAGCAGCCAAGGCCCACAGGGACAGCCGTGCACGTGAGGTCACATGATGAGGGAGTGCTGGAAAGGGCCTGCTGCTCAGACCAGAGCTCTCCCTGCAGCCTCACACGGCCTCCTGGGGGTCAGCAGGGGGGCCCTTGGCTTCAATCCTGAGATTCCTGCACCTGCCCCAGGGCTCTCAGAGTCAGCCACGTTTACTGGGAGCTGTCGATGCTGTAGGCACTGTGCAGAAGGGTGTCATCCCACAGCCCTTCTGTGCTCTCCATGAAAGGGGCCAGCACTACCACTAGTCCAGGGCTGTGCACAAGAAAGCTGGGGCCCAGAGGCTGTGCGGCGGCTCCATGTCACACAGCCGGTGCTGGGGCCAGGGTCTGAGCTGAGCCCACGTACGCAACAGCCACACCTCCTTGGACTCACTGCCTCGGGGAGCGCTGTGACTGGTCCTCCCGCACTAGAAGGCCTGCTGCTGCCCCGGCCTGAGTTTCTGTCTCAGCAGGTCCAGGCCAGAGCCCTGAGATGGGCATTTCTAGCAAGTCCTTTGAAGTACCAATGCTGGGGGCAGCTGGTGTAAGGAGCCTTCGTTCAGGCATCCGGCTCTTCCAATCTCAGCTCTGTGACCTTGAGAGTCTGTACCCAACCTCTGTTTCCTCATCTGTGAAATGGGGGTAACAGAAGTAGGAAAGGGCAATGGCAAGGGCAACAGGCAAAGGTCTGGTTGCTTCCTGGCAGTCAGGAAATTAGCCCTTGTTGCCTCTCCTGCCTCTTCCTTGAAGTGTGATCTTTGTAGCTGAGGTCCTCAACTTGTCCCTCTTACTGACTTGCTGGGTGACCTCAGGCAAGTCACTTTCCCTCTTTTAGCCTCCATTTTCCAATCTGTAAAATGGAGCTATTAACACAGGTGGCTTCTGAGACCCACTCAGATGGAAAGCCTGGGCACATAGACCTAGCTGTCCCTGGAGTCCCACTCAGTGGGCCTGTGGGACTACAGAACCTGAGGACCTGTCCCCCACCCCAGGGCCATGGTGCACTACTCCTGCCAGGAGCTGTGCCGCATTCTCTACCTGCTCATCCCACTCCTGGAGCGTGGTGACGAGAAGCACAAGGTCACCGCCACCGCCTTCTTCGTGGAGGTATGACAGGGACCTGGCGCCGGGCAGGGTTCCTCATGGGCCTTCTGCATGAGCAGGGCTGCAGTTTACAAAGCCTTCTTGGGTAGCATTTCCCTGAACCTGAGGTCCCCTGGATTTCCCCCACCCTTGTCCCTCATCCTCTCACCCCTGTCCCCCATTGAATCCTCCCCAGCCCTCTGAAGGCCCCCAGGCAACAGCAATCTTTGCTGGCCCCTGTGTGTCAGGTGCCACAGGTGCAAGTTTGAGTGTGACTCTACCAGTTATAACATGTGAGGGCTCTAAAAAGTGACTTGTGCTAAGCCGGGAGCAATCTAGGCTGTGGTGGGAGAAGAGAGGACTTCCGGGAAGAAAGATGTCAGGGAGGGTGTCCTGGGGGAAGGGACCTCTTGGCTGAGTGAGCTGGGTGGAGGGGATGGGTCTGGAAGGGAGAAGCTCACTGGTAGCACCTGCTGATGACGGATGAGCACTTAGTCTTGCAGGCATATTCTGAGAGCTTTCCGCTTTCTGATTTGCTTCACCCTCAGTCACCCTGTGACTCAGACCAGCCCATGGGCCACTTTAGAGAAGGAACCTGGGCACAGATGTCAGCACCTCTTCAGGGTCCAGGTGGCAGATCTCTGATTCAAAAACAGACATTTGGATTCTGAAACTTCTCTCTCTTGGCTGGGTGTGGTGGCATATGCCTGTAGTCCCAGCACTCAGGAGGCTGAGGCAGAAGGATTACCAAGTTTGAGGCCAGCCTGGGCTACAAAGTGAGTTCAAGGCCAGCCAGAACTGCATAGTGAAACTCTGTCTCAAAAAGATAAAACCTCTGTCTTTTAATTTATCTTTATTATGATAAAATATGTAGAACATACAATCTGCCATTCTACCTTCTTAAGTCGATAGTTCAGAGGCCTTAAGTGGATTCCTGTCCCTGTGATCCATCTTCAGAACTGTCTCCTCTCCACTCACTGAAGTTCTGTGCCCATCAACCCGAGCTCCAACTTTCCTTTTCCTCAGGCCTTTAGGCACCTCTTTTTTTTTTTTTTCATCTTTTTCAGACAGTCTTGCTGTGTAGTTCAGGATGGCCTTGAGCTCACTTTGTAGTCCAGGCTGGTCTCGAACTCGTGATGATCCTCCTGCCTTGGCCTCCTGAGCACTGGGGTTACAGGCGTGCACCACCATGTCCAGCAGGAACCTCTTTGGGCATGACAGTGCACATCTGTAATCCCAGTGCCTGGGAGGCTGAGGATTGCCATGAGGTGCAGGGCAGCCTGGGCTATGTAAGCAAGTTCAAGGCCAGCCTGCACTACACAAGACCCTGTCCCAAAAACAAGAATAACAAAAACAGGGCTGTGGCCAGGGAGATGGCTCAGTAGAATAAGTGTTTCCCTGGCAAGCACAAGGGCCTGAGTTCAATCCCCAGTTCTGCCAAAAAACCCAAAAAAAACCAAAAACAGGGCTGACTTGACAGCTCAGTGGATCAAAGTGCCTGCTTAGGCAGAGTGCAGTCTGGGGTTCGATTCCCAGCATGCCATGCTGGCCCTGCCTGTGGGGTGCACTGAGATGGCAGCAATTGAGACTGGGCATGGTGGTGCGTGTCTGTAATCCCAGCACTTGGGAGGCTAAAAACAGGAGAGTCACTTCGAGTCTGATCTACATAATGAGACTCTGTAGACCCTGTCCTATTACAGGGAAAAATGAATAAATAAAAACAAAACATGAAGTCCCTTCCTTTCGAAAGCTGTGGTATTTTATCCCTTCCTCTCTTGGGGGACACCATGAGGTTCACTCTATACCTGACAGTGTCATGCGTGGCATCCAGCATACCTGTCACCAGAGTCGGTAAGGAAGGGCTCAGGGGCAGGAGGCTCGCTGTCTGCCCAGGTGGTGCAAGGGACAAGGAAGTTTCTGTAGGAAGGAGGTTCAGGTGGACAGATTTCGGCACATAGCGTGTGCTGGTGATCGGGGGCGTCAGGGGTAACTCATGGTCACCCAGCTCAGGGAGTCTGGAGAGTTTCCAATCAGCTCTGCCTGTTTCATCCTCTCTCGGGGTCAGCCTTGTGGGAGGGGCTTCTCTCCAAGTCCTCTAAGGCCTGCTATTCAAGCTCTTGGGGGATGTCGAGGTCAGACTTCCGCAGAACTCAGGTGCCATTTCCTGTGCACACCACGAGGTATGGACTCCCAGGGTTATCCTGAGCACTGGCCTCCCTCCCCAAGCAGAGGTCTTCCCAGCTCCCCGGAACTTCCAGCCAGCCCTGCCCCATGGGCCATGGCATGGCTGTCCCTCCTTGACACCTGGGGGCCCTCTTCTGTGAGTGCCTGTGTGTGTGCTGGCTCAGCCTGCATGGTGGGCTAACTCTTCTGGAGCTGTATGACCTCGGGTGAGTCACCCGGTCTACCTGTGCTCCTGTTTCCTCACTTGTAATTGAGCATTAGGACTTGCCCACCTCACAGAGCTAGGGTGAGGACCTTCACTCCCTGTGTCTTCTGGGCCTGGCACGGACCTTGGGTGTGGCAGGTTCTGCTGGGTCCTGATGTGTGGAGGATGGAGGACTGGCAGTGGGTTCATCCCCTGGCTCCCTGATCTCCCCCTGGACAACTGTCCTGTGTCTCCTGTGGCTCACCAGGCTGAAAGGGAGCAGAGGATGTGAGGGAAAAGGAGATGGTGGTGCAGTGGGGGCACAGAAGGGGCAGCCCGGAGGAGGGAAGGAGATGGGTTTCACATAGGCCTGTGCTCATGCCAGAATGCCCTGAGGGGATGCTGCATCGCAGAGCCTGGTTGGGTGGCAGGGGCTTAAGGAGGAACAGCTCAGTGTTTGTCCTCAAGGGAGCCCCAGGCACCTCTAGGTGGAGTGGGCACAGGCAGGGCAGAGGGGGTGCTGGGGAAGGGGATGGGGAAACTTCAAATGTAGCTCAAGGGGTGACAGGCAGGTGGAGTCCCAGCAGAAGGGCGTTTCATTTATGTAGAAGGGACATATAGCCAGGGCCATTCAGGAACATGGGCAGCTTGGGTCTCCTGTTGCTCCCCCAGCTCCTCCAGATGGAGCAGGTGCGCCGGATTCCCGAGGAGTACTCGCTGGGGCGGATGGTGGAAGGCCTGGACCACCGTGACCCCGTTATGAAGGTGCTGTCCATCCGGGGCTTGATGCTCCTGGCCCGCAGGTCGGAGAAGGTGAGTGGGAGGGGGAGCAGAGGAAAACCTGCCCAGCCTGGCCCCTTTCAGACTCTGATGGTTAGGATCAGCGCCCATTTCTGTTTAGCCTCAGTGATCCATCTATAAAGTGGATCTGCCTTCATAAGCTCTAAGTAGTTTAGCCTTTGCTGAAGCGTTTCTAAACCAGATTTTTCTCAGTGGCCCTAAAGTTGTGTGTGTAGGGGGAGCAAGGTTGGCAGTAATTATTCGTACTTTGCAGATCAGACAACTGAGCCCCGAGTCATTGATTGATACACCCTGAGCATTTATAAAAGAGCTTTGTTTTTCTCTGCCTTCCTGGCTCATGATGTAGACAGGATGAACGGACTGATATCATCCTTCCAGTGCCTACAAGGGGGATAAGAAACCAAAGGGCTGGAAGGACCCAGGCTGAACTTGAGCCAGGGCCTTCCAGGCAGGAGGCTGCACATAGACAAAGGCCTGGGGTGGGAGTGGGGCCACCTTGCTCCTCCTGGTAAACCAGGCTGGGCTCCTTCCTGCTGGGCCGGGTAGGACACCCCACTCCCAAGGGTTTCTGCCCCACAGATGGCCAAGGTGCAGGCCCTGCTGCCCTCCATGGTGAAGGGCCTGAAGAACATGGATGGGGTGCTGGTGGTGGAGGCAGTCCAGAGCCTCAAGACCATCTTCAAGGGAAAAGACCGGAGGCAGAGGGACAGCTCTGTCTATGTGGAGATGCTGCAGGTCCTGCTGCCACACTTCAGTGATGTAAGGAATCCCACAGGGTGCTGGTGGCCTGGGGAAGGTGGAACCAGCCTGAAGGGGGCGCCTTTCCCCAGATGGCCCCCTTGTTTTTGCAATTGGTGCCTCCAGAGACGATTCTTTGTTCTAATCGGCTCTCCTGGAGAGAGCTGTTCTTTTCTATGAAGTCTCTCCAGAAAAGTTCTTATTAAAGCCACTAGTCCACCCAAAGGGACATACCTCCACAGGTGCCATGAAGACACCTTTTAGGCCAGCAGGGGCCCTGGCTGGGGAGAAAGGGGAGTGTTCCAGAGCCAGGCGTGGGTGAGGCGAGGGCTGGCCCCATCAGCCCCGCCTGGTGGCCCCGACTGTCCTTCGCCTTCACGTCTTTGTGCCTGGAGGGCCCTCGAGTTGAGGGACGGGACAGCCGTGGAGCCTCCTCCTGGAGGAGGGGTGCCCTGAGCCTCTCGTCTGCCCCAGTCAAGAGAGGACGTGCGCTCCGCCTGCATCAACATGTACGGGAAGGTAGTCCAGAAGCTTCAGGCTCCCTGCACGCCGGCCATGGAGGAGCAGCTGACCAACACGTTGGTGCCACTCCTGCTGATCATGCAGGAGGGCGATGCCACGGTGGGCCAGGTGAGCGCGCGTGCGGGGCCTCTGCCTGCCAGGGCCCTGCAGTGTGTCTCCCGTTATGGAAATCACGTGAGGGTCAGGTCACAAGCCACCCGGGGGGACAGCTAGGTATGTCCTGTCAGGTCTGTTTTCCAAAGATGTCCACATTGGGGTTCCACTTCAGATTGGCTAACTTCATTTGCACGTTTTCAAAGAGGAGTTGATTTTCCAAAACCCAGTTTTGACACAACTTGGGCTCTGGAGTGTGTTTGGGCCTCCTCCTGGAATCCCACAGTTCTTGGTGTTTTCTTCCTGTTGGCCCCCAGAAGTGTGTGAAGACCCTGTTCCGCTGTTCTTGCTTCATGGCTTGGGAGTTGCCGAAGACAGCTTATAGCCGGAAGTCCTGGGACAACAGGCAGCAGGCAGTGGCCAAAATTTGCAAGTACCTTGTGAGTGCTTCCTTCTGAGTATGTGGAGGTGGGGCCTGTCTTCCCCCTTCCGGCTTCCTGAGTGGCAGTTTCCACCACCCTCTTTGGGTTGCTGGCTCTGGAACACCAACTTCCATCTCTCACCTCCCTCTTTCCTCCATCCTGTATCACCTCTGCACAGGTGCAGTGGACACCTGGGATGCCCACAGGCACTTCAAGCTGGAGTGGCCCTTTCGGACAGGCGGCCTTCCCTTGCAGTTTGCACTGTCCTTCTCAGTCCTTAAGGCAGAATCGCCCTGCATCCTTTTTCTCCTCACCTTCTGCATCTGAACGACTCTAAAATGCCTGAGGATCTCTGTATCTTTCTCCACCCCACCCCACTGTCTCTGCCCTAAGTTCAGCCATGGCTGTCTCCTGGTTGAGCTGTGGGCACAGCCAGGCAGCCAGCCTCTGTCTTTCAATTTCATCTCCTGCAACCCATTCCCCATCCAGACCACTGAAATAGTCTTTAAAAGCATTAAAGATGGTCAGATGGGGTGGTTCTTGCCTGTAATCCCAGCACCCACGAGGCTGAGGCAGGAGGATTGTTGTAAGTTCAAAGCCAACCTGGGCTGCACAGTGAGTTCAAGGCCAGCCTGAACTACACAGCTGGATCCTGTCTCAAAAGAAAAGAAGGGAAGAGAAGAGAAAAGAAAAAAAAAAAAAAAGAGAGAAAAGAAGAAAGCTAGCGTGAAGGGTGTCGCGGAGAAAAGCTGTTCCCCTCATGGCAGCCAGGAAACAGGGAGGGAGTGAAATAGCCAGAGAGAAAAGATGTCGCTAGGGACCATATGCAGCTTTCAAAGGACACGCCCCAGTGACCTCCTTCTTCTAGCCAAGCTCCACCCAAAGGGGACGTATCTCCACAGGTGCCATGAAGACACCTTTTAAGCTAGCAGGGGTCCCAGCTGGGGACAACAGGGAGTGCTTCAGAGCCAGGCGTGGGGGAGAGCACATTCAGTTAGGAATGCGTAAGTGGATTCATCATTGATCCACATCGCTGGAGTTAGGATCAATCT